CAAGCACATAGGCTGTGTATATCATTTTAAACACGGCAATAGAGGCTCCATATCCATTCCAGGTCATTGCTTTCAGTGCCCTGAGTCAACTTTTGCATGTTCCTATGAGCTGGTTGAGCTCCTCTTTCATCTCCTTGTTAGAACCGACAGTGATGCCAAGGTACAAATAGTGGTTAACCCAATCAAGTGTTACACCTTCCAGCTCCGAAGTGTCTGAAGGTTTTGGAGTCAGAGCAGGGTTTAGTTGGTGTTGAGACTCGGGCAGTCTCAGGGGAGTAGCCTTCCGGGGTGGCGGCGGAGACATTCGAGCCTAGTCCTCCTGCAGGAGCTTCTGGGTATGACCAGTGGACCCCCTTTGTTCCTGCTTTTTCGGCTGCTCCTGCCTTTTCCTTAGAGGCAGGGGGGTGTGGAGGATGACTCGGCCCTGGACGTTCGGGGTGAGGTTCCTGGGCAGAGGAGGGATTGATTTGGGGACTTGGGTCCCATTAGACCATGCTTGGGTTTTTGTACCCTCGGAATGGGGCTTGGTGTTACAGGGTGTGGGGTTCTCTTTTCCTCCCTCCGTGTACGAGTTGGATTTGGCGTCTATCCCTCCCTGGGTTCAGTTCCCTGCCCCGACGGTTCTTCAGTTCCGTCTTTCCGGAGGTATCCAGCTTCCCAAGTCCAGTCCCAGTGGGTGCAGGACGTCCTTGCGACTTACCTCCTGTGTGACCCAGATTTTGCTTTCGTGATGGATCCACGTTCCTTTGTGTATGGATCTTCGTGTCCTTACTGGGTTCGTTACGAAGTTCCATAAGTTGCGTCGGCCCTTTCGGAGTCGTCCTGGTTAGCAGACTGCCCTTTCTTCTCTTTGGAGGTGTGGCATGCGTTCTGTCGGTCCTGTACGCTTGAGTGGTGGAAGGCTCAGACGACGTTGCAGGTTTTGCTGGGGGGGCATATTTGAGCATCACAATGAGTACCTGTTCACCCCTGCCCTTCCGCTGGATGTTGGTGTGATTTAGCTTCATGTGCAGGTTCCCTCCCTTTCGGCTGCATTGGGTGCGAAGGACTTGCATATGCGGGGCCTGCTGGCTCCGGCCCTGCGGTTCTTCTCCCTCCTTGAGCTGTCTTCAGACTAGCTTGCGGTGGATGAGAAGTTTGGGGCCACCTCTGGGGTCTGGTGCATTGCCTTCGGCGGCGCGTGCATCATCTGCGTTGTTGAAGCTGTTCGCGTTGCTCCTGCGGGATGCGGTTTCGCGTTTTTTTGCTTCTGAGCTCACGTGTCGGCAGGCGGTGCTCGCTTCTTCCTTGGAATCCTCTTGGCCCCTAGCTCTTAGATTGTCTTCGCCCTTTTATCCATTGCTGTTTGCAGAGTCTGCGGTGATGCAGTATCTGCAGGTGGCTATGGCTAGTTGCCGTCCTATGTCAGAAATGTTCGTCTTCCGGGGGACCGTCCCAGCGGGGTCGTGCCAGGGCTTGGGGTTCTTTCTCTCGTGGTAGGCCAGTGGTGTCAGGTTTGGCATCGGCTCAGCCTTCAGTGCTATCTGTTTCTGTTCGGCGTGGGCGATCGCTCTTTGCACAGTTTGGTTGCTCGTAAGTTGTGTCGGCCCTTTCGAGGTTCGTCCCGTTGACGGGGTGGTGGGGGGGAGGCTCGCACTGTTTGCTCGCTCCTGGTCCCACGATTTGTGGGCCTTTCGGGTCGTTTCGTGCTGCCTGTAGTGGCGTTGAGTGGTTCCTCCTTCTTTGGGGGTTCGGGGTTTGGGGCTGGCAGGGCAGGCCTCTTCACCTGCTGGGTTCATTTGGGTGTGGTCGAAATGTCCTTGTTCCTTAGGTGGATCTCCCACCTTTTTCCAGTCCCAAAACGGGACTGTGCGGACCTCCGGTTCATTCTTGACTTGTCCTTATTATTCCTGACATTAAAAACAGCAGGGATAGCACCGCTCCATAAAGGAGGAAGGAAATAAGGCAGAGGCAAAAAATTACAGACCAATAGCACTAACATCGCACATCATAAAAATCTTTGAGAGAGTGCTAAGAAGTAAGATCACAAAATACATGGAATCACAGCATCTCCATAACCCTGGACAACATGGTTTCAGAACAGGGCGCTCTTGCCTATCACAGTTACTGGACCACTATGACATAGCACTAGATGCCATGGAAGACGAACAAAACGCTGATGTAATTTACACAGATTTTGCAAAAGCCTTTTGACAAATGTGACCATGGTGTTATTGCACATAAAATGCATTCAAAAGGAATTACCGGAAAAATAGGCAGATGGATCTACAATTTCCTGACTAATAGAACCTAATGTGTAATAGTCAACAAAATAAAATCCAGCCCATCAACCGTAAAGAGCTCAGTCCTGCAGGGTACTGTGCTTGCTCCAGTACTTTTTCTCATCCTCATATCGGACATAGACAAGGACACAACCTATAGTACTGTATCATCCTTTGCAGATGACACTAGGACTTTTATGAGAGTAGACAACATAGAGGACACGGCAAACCTCCAATCAGATGTAAATCAGGTCTTTCTATGGGCTACAGAAAATAGCATGGTGTTTAACGTAGATAAGTTTCAGCTCATGCGCTACGGAAAAAATGAAAATATAAAAATGGAAACCACGTACAAAACTCGGTCAAATCATAACATAGAACCGAAAGGCAATGTAAAGGATTTGGGTGTACTGATGTCGGAAGACCTTACATTTAAAGAACGCAATAAAGTAGCCGTCACAACTGCAAGAAAAATGACAGGTTGGATAACAAGAACTTTTCACACTTGAGATGCTATACCGATGGTGATACTCTTCAAGACGCTAGTGCTCTCTTAGAGTGGAGTACTGCTGCACAATGACAGCCCCCTTTCAAAGCTGGAGAAATTGCTGACCTTGAGAGTGTGCAGAGATCATTTACTAGAATCCACTCAGTAAAACATCTCGACTATTGGGATCGACTAAAGAGCCTAAACCTGTATTCTCTTGAGCGCAGGCGGGAGAGATACATAATAATTTACACATGGAAAATAGTAGAGGGGCTGGTCTCAAACCTGCACACAGAAATACGTATTGCACGGTCTAAGGGTTAAAGAACTTGGGAATGGCATGATATAGGAGACTTTTGTGCCCTGCTATTTCCAAAAAACATGCAAAAACATGGACGTATCGTCATCAAAGGCAATGATGAACGTTTGCAAACCAGAAGAACTCTGCCTACGCGATGGAAGAAGTGCAGGGGGTCACTTCAGTCCTATTTCCTTTGGAACTGGACTCTTCATGTAGCTTCATGTAGCTTGGCTTGGCTTCTCAAGGTTTGGTTGTCTGCATGGTTCATGGGTGGAATGTGTCCAACATTCTTGCAGACTGGTTATCTCACTTCTATCCCATTTCCATGGAGTGGACCTTCAACAGTGCATCCCTCCATTGACTTTGTGAAAAGTTTTGTCACTCTAAGGCGGACCTCTTTGCTTTGACATGGAACCAGCATATCCGTTCATACATGTCTCCGTACCCTTATTGCAAGGCTCTCGCTGTAATTGTCTTCCTGCTGGACTGACTGATGTAGGGATTCATTTACCTCTTTCCCATGATTCAGTTGTTGCTCCAAGAGTTGTCCAGACTGGAGTCATTCTTGGGAAGAGTGATACAGTATTTCTGGTTCCTAGGTGGCTGGCTCAACCTTAGTTCTAACTCTTCTGGGGATTTTTTTTGTGGATCTTTCAGCAGATTGGCCCAGTGGTATACCTTTCTGGTTGGCTTACTCCTTTGTTCTACATATCATGATTTTTTGATGCGTGTTTATCACCATTTGTATAGTAAGCAGGTGGCTGGTTTGTTGGTGTCCCACCTGTCTTTCTCTTTGTGGTGATAATGCTCTTTTCACCTCTTACTGTTGCTTTGCCATTTTCTGTTTCTGTTTCGGTTATCCTGTGTTTCTTGTGATTGGTTTTAGATCGGCATGTTATACCTAGTACTTTTGTCTCTTATTGTTCAGCATTGGCCGAGCAACTTTTGCTTGTATTCAGTGTTGATACTACTTTGGTAACATTCCAGAAGTTGTTTTGTTTATTCTTTTACCTCTGGCCAGCTTGTGCTCCTATGAGCCATCTTAGTCTCTTGATAGTCTTAGTGGTTCTTTCTTCTCCTCAGTTCATGCTTATCCCCCTTAGGCCAAGAATACTTTTCTCAAGGCTGTCTTTTTGAGCCTCCAGCTACAGGGATTTGTAAAGTATTTGTAAGAAAATGAGTACCTATCTAGGCAGATCCACCAAGAAATCTGAAGCCTCATTTACACCTGGTATGTCCAGCTTATCAACTTCCCCTCTACAGTCACACCCAACCCCCTTACCATAGCATTTATATCCCCATCACAATAATTCTTACTCTAGAGCATGGCTTACAATTTTTGTGCATACACAAATAGAAATGTGAGCTGCTGAAATGTAATTACTATATTAGTATTAGTCCATTATCACCAACTATGTTTCCCATACATTATAAGAGGTATTTATCTCTTATGTGGGTTAGGGACCTTCAAGATGTGAAAAAGAGATCTTGCAAAATGGGTATCCATTTAAACTGATACATACTGAAATAATTACTGTTCAGTACTGGTGTACTAGAGGCAAAAAATGCAATGCTTTAAAAAACTGTTATGTCTGGCAGTGCTGACTGGCTAACATTATGCACACTTTAATTCCTCAAAAGTGTAATAATTAATTGCATCCAAACAATTCAATATTTTTGGAATTAGGGATAATTGCTCTATTAACTGTCAATCAAAATTAGAACTGCAGTACAGTACTGGTATAGTATATGTATATACAGTACAGTATTTTAACTTTTTAAAATTTCTCGCATAAGAAATGGGTGCTGGGTTATGAAACCTTCCTTAATGAAAGGTTAAGGGATGTTTGGTATTAGTGACACTGACAGGGTCTGTACACTCCTTATTATAAATCTGTCAGATGCAAGGTTTATTTTACATTTGATCATTACTTAATTTCTCCTTCAACAGCTGGTGGCGTGGGAAAGAGTGCACTCACCATTCAGCTTATTCAAAATCAGTGAGTATTTTAGTTCTGGTATTATTCAAGAACCCTTTTATTGTTTTTTTGTCAACTTGCTTACAGTAAACATTTTATTATGTTCAACCACCGTGCTGCGTGGCCTTATGACATTCCCACTGTGTGCCGAAAATAAATTCTCTGCAAAAAATTATTTTATCTTGTTAAAATAAAGTCTGATCACAGGAAACTAAACAAAAATAAAATATTGTATGTGACATACTTTATCCGTGATGGAGCTGGGAAGTTGAGCAAATTATGGGCGCTGAGCGATGGAGCGCTCGGGGTCACTTGACCCTGCCACCCCGTGGGGGCGGCAGTTGCCACGAATATAATTTTTCACAATTATTTTTTTGGTTTTCATTCGTTTCTTCTCTTTTTTTATCGTAATAATATTCAAAAGTGTGTAATTTTTGGAATTGATATACAGTACAGTAGTTCAATTTGTAGAACATTGCTATGCTCATAATTATGGGGCTCATATAATGACCTGTATAATATATTCTTTGATCAATCAAATAGTGTTTTTACTGTTATTACACTATATACAAGGGTACCTTGGTTTAAGAGTTAAATCCGTTCCTGGAGATGGCTCCTAATCCGAAAACTTGTAAACCGAAGCTAATTTCCCCATAAGAAATAATGGGAAATGAATTAATCCATTCCTGACTACCCAAAAACCTCACTTCAAACTAAATTTTCTGTGGGGAGCCCCTACGGCTCCCTGGAGCTTATCGGGCTAATGTGTGTTATGTTAGACCGGGACATTAGCTAAGGAGTTCAGACCTACCAGGGACCAGCGCCAGAACCTGGCCCCTTCAGAGAGGTTTCAGGGAGCAATGGCCCTGGAAAACCCCATATGGTTGGGGGTTTTCCTTATCTGCCATCGACCGGGGTTAGGCACCCAGAAAGGTAGGCGTAACAAAACAAACCCCACATGGTAAGACACTACAACAAAAACCGAACAGAGAGGTAGAAAACTCCCTACAATCCCAAGGAAACAAGCAAACAAGCAAACATCACACTTTACTGCCGCGCCGATCGTCCGCGCAGCCCTCCCCACCCCGGGAGGGGGAGGGGGGAGCCCCGGACCTACCGCGCCGGCTGCCAAGCTCCAGTTCGTTCGCTAATGTCAACCGGGATTGACGCTTCTCTGGCCTCAGTTTCCTAGGCGGTGTTTGCCTTGTGTGGCGTTCACTGCCGTGTGTTGTGGTGTGCGGTGGCCAGGAGTACTTCATCAGTGCCGGGGCTGCATGTGCTTAGTGGCTGACTTCCCTAAGCGCCCTGTGAGTACTGCCCTTGCGTTACAGGGTTATCTTCCCTGGGGCGTTCGGGAACCATTCCCGTAGAGGTTCTTGCTGCTCGGCATTTGCCTCGCCCTTGGGGCCAGCTGGGGCTTGGGGCCCTTGTTTGGCCCTGGGTAGGGATTGGTATTGTGCTGGTTAGGGCGTCAAGGTGTTGCGCAGCCTGCCACCTAAGCGGCGGCCGGTTTCTGTTGCCTCTGGAGACGGTGTACTTTTGCGGGGTTTTTCTTTTGTTTTTCTTTTCTTGCCTGGTGGGGGTCTGCCTAAGGTGGTTATAGTTCCACTGGTAGTGTTTGGCGGCCCTCTGCTAGGCCCCCGTGCTTGTACACGTCTCGGGGGTTTTCAGTGCTATAATCTACCCTCTTGTTATGTTTGGGTTTCTTAACCGGTTAGCAACACCTTGCCCGGGCTTCCCGTAGTTGTTACCCTACGGGCCCTGGAAACCCCTGTCTGGGCTCGGGGGACCATTGAATGTGTCTTCCGGGTTCCAACCCGTCTTGTACGGGATCGTTGGTTGCTGTTCCCTTGTCTCCGGGTGACAGTCGCCATTTTTACCTCCGTCATGCTGCCTGTTGGGTCACTGACACCTTGACCCGGAGTCTTGCGAGTGATTCTCTGCTTGTTCTCCAGTACTCTCCTGATGTTATTACTGTTCAGAGTACAGGCGGCATCCGTGTTGCAAGCTAGGTTAGGTTGCTGCAACATGCTAGGTTGGTTTCCCACTCGAATGCCCCGTGGCCGCCCCGTTTGGTTAGGTGCTGCTCGCCCCTTTCTCTCCATGTTCCCGGCTCCGGACCGTCTGCGTGTTTCTGGGTCGGGGCGGGGTTCAGTTGCGGCAGAGACTCGGGCGGTTTTCGGGGGATGCCCCGTTCGGGTTGGGGACGGAGGTTTGAGCCTGTGCCTCCTGCCAAGGCTTCTGGGTCTTACCAGCGGCCCTTTCTTGTTGCCTTCCCCATGGGCTCTTGCTTTTCTTTCAGGGCGGAGGGCTTGGAGGACGGCTCTGCCCCGGGGCCTCTGTTGTTGGTTCCCGGGGCTGTGGGGGATGCCTACTAGCAGTTCTGGGGCGGTTTTGCCCCTTCAGGGGTTTTTCTGCTGTTGGGCGTCGTTTTTCGCCCTTCCAGTCTGCTAGCTTCCCACATTTGCTGGCGTGTTTTTGTGTATTAAGCGTCAGTCACAGCCCCTGCTGGCGGCCATTTTCGTCTGCCGGTTTCCCGGCGTGGCCACCAGGGCGGCGTTGCCGTTTGTTTACATGCGTCTGGGTGTGCGAGCGAGCGTCTCTGGTGAGTTTTCAAAAAATTTGCAGGGTTTTTGTTCTCCTGTTGTCGTTTCTTTGTTTTTCTGGTGTTTTCTTGCCGTTGCCTGTTCCTCTGGGAACGTTTGGGTGTTGATTTTGGGTCTGAGCCTCTGGGTTTAGGCTCAGTGCCCCTGGCTGGTATGCTTGCTCCCACACCTTGCCCCTCGGTTTTCGGTCTGTTGGGACCGTTTTCCCAGGGCGTTCTGCTGGGGTCTGTGCTTTGCCTTTTAGTGGTGTTCTCCGCCGGCAAATGTGGTGGTTTGGGCTCCCCCTGGTTCGATTCTGGGTTCCTTTGGGTTCCTTGGTTTCGTTCTGGAGGTTTCTTCCTCTTGGGCCCCCTTTTGTGGGTTCAGGGGACTTTGTTTCCTCGTGTGACCCGGTTCTGCCTTTTGGGGTTCCGGGGTCTTCCTGGCTTGCAGACTGAGCTTTTTGGGTCTTGGCACATGTTGTGGTTGTGCTGGGACTTTGTGGTTTTGCTGTCGAGGTGGGCCTTTTGATGCAGTTTTGTGCCTTCTTTGCCTGGCCGGCGTAGTGCTCTTTGCCACTAGTCGGCGGCTTGTGCTTTTACAATATATGTCCTCACCTAGTTGTGCTTGTGGGGGTTGAGCTCTGGCTCCTTGGTCCTGCCTCTCAACCGTCCGTCAACAGGTGTATCGGTTCCTGTGCCTCTTGGGCTGTCATGTCTACATGTGACATTGTATGGGGGTCAGCCTCGTTACTTGTGTGAGGAGTCGCCACATTACTTCTTAGTGCTTTCCCGTTCCCATTCTGACACTCAAAAAAAAAAAAAAAAAAAAAAAAAAAAAAAAAAAAAAAAACTAATTCTATCTGTGGCTCTTTTGGGTACTCAGTTTCCACCTGTGTCCCCTAGTGCGTGTGCCCCTTGTGTTACATATCCTGTCCTTCTCAACCCTGTCGATTCCCTTGGGTATCTTGTATGTGGTGATCAGGTCTCCCCTCACTTCCTCTTCCAGCGAAGTGTGGTTTCATTCCCGTAGTCTCTCCTCATGACTTCGGTAGTGTACTTTTCTTTCTGAAGGGGTTCTGTTCCCTTCTCTGTTGACTGGGCGCTGGGGGAGCAGCTTGCTCTGTTGCCTCTCGCTTGGTCCCGCTGTTGGTGGGCGCTTTGGGTTGTCTTCCGGTCTCTGCTGGCGTCGGAGGACGGCTTCTCCCCTTGGGGGGGGTTCAGAGCTGGCGGGGTGGGCTTCTTCCCTGCGCTTCGTCATTTCCTCTTCGTGGGTGCGTGGGGCGTGGTCGTTCCGCCCCATCCTTCTGGGCTTCCCGTCTGCTCTTTGCAGTCATGAGCTTTTCCAGTCTGCAGTTCTTCTGGACTACTTCCGTCTGCGCCCTGGATCCTCTGCCCTGCTCGGAGGACTGTTGTCTCCTGTTCGGATTCTGTTAGGGCCGGGTGCATGGTTGGTGGACCTGGACCTCCAGGTCACTTCTTGGCACATTCCTCTCCAGTTTTTCTGGGGCTAGCACGGTTGGTAATTACCTATGTGTACTTACCTAAGTGTAGTTACAGGATGAGAGCTACTCTCGTGGTGTCCCGTCTTCCCAGCACTCTGTCATATAATGCTTTGATTATAATTGTCATATTGTCATATAATGATTGTCATATGTCATAATATGTCTTCATATGATTGTCATACAATGCTTTGGTGGTGGGGCTTCAGGTTTGCTGTTTTTATTGCATTCCCTATTTTGTGAAGGGCACTTTGTATACTCTTTGCATCTTTACCGGATCTTAGTGCCCTGTCTGCGTCTGAGATTCGGTGTCTGGCCTACCTCGACGACTGGCTGGAGTGGGCTCCCAGTCAGTCCGCTTGTCTGCTCGCCAGGGGATGGTTCTTTCCAGATCGCTGGGTTTGGTTTCCTGGTGATCTGGAGGTTTTACCTTCTGTTCCGTCCCGGGTTCGGACCTGGGCCTTGTTTCAGGCTCTTGGGCCCCTCATTGTCTTCCCTCCAGAAGTGTTACTGTGGCTGTGGTCCCGCCTTTGGCTGTTCAGGAGGGGGTCCCGGGTTGCTCAGCGGTTGCTTGGGCGGTTGTGCGGGAGTTTGCACTTCGGCGTGCTTGTCTGCCCGCAGAGTCGGGTTTGGCTCCGGCGTCGGTTGGTTCCTACGGAGACTCCACTTCCGCCTCTTGCATTCCTTGGGTTCCTCTGGGGATCTGGTGTTGGTGCTGCGTCACCAGCTTCCTCTTTGGGGTTTTCGGGGTTCCGTGCCTTGGCGGCTCCCCGAGCCTTCGCTCGATGTGTTCACGGACGGGTCGTCTCTCGGCTGGGGCTTTGTGACCTGTGCTCACCAGGTCGGCCGAGGTTGATGGAGTCTGTCTGTCCGTCGGGCTCACAGCCCGGTTCAGGTGTTCATGGCTGTCTGGTTTGCGCTTCGGAGGGTTTAGG